TACAAATTAGAAATTAGTTAAAGACCACTGGCACCAAACAAGGACTATCCTTTTGATCTGATCACAAATAAAAGCAGCTCTAAGTGAATCACATTTTCATTATGTTATTTGATATAAAGACTGTCGATGCACCACCTAAACTTATCTCCTGTTCCCCCAGTAATACAAGATCCCCCTTGCCTTTGGGAAACCCCACTTCAATCCAAGGAGCGATGATTTGGTTCCTTGGGACAATGACACTAACATTTAAGGAAATATGTTTCCTGCTCAAGGCTGGAGGCAGTGTATGTTAGCTCTCAACATTTCACCAATTTCAGTACAGATTTTACAGTATTTGGCAGGCATACTTCATGGTTTGTGGTTTGAGGTTTTGAGAGTTTCCCTGTTTCATTAAAAATGAGGCTTTTTCTGGGGTTTTGCTTTGTTTTGTTTTTCGTTGCTTCCAGAAGATTTGGGGGAGGGGTGATGGTGTGTGAGAACGGAGGGAGTGAAAATGTTTTTGCTATCTTTCACTGGGTATATATGTAATGTGCATGCCTCTACAGCCTCTCCCAGCTGTTTACTTGTTGGCACACGTCCTCATAGCCAGACCTTGGACCAGGTCCTCTGATTCAGTCAAGTGCTCCATATCTGCACGTTCGGAGGGTTTCTAAACTTTGGAGGTTCCACCTGGGATACGAGAAAGTACAGCAAGGTCACTGTCTAAATGCTGCTGCCCTCCTCACAGGATTGTCTTCCAGGTTGTGAACTCAGGTGTGTGTGCGCCTTCTCAACAACCTTTTTGAGAACAGTGGCACTAGATCGACTTCAGCGGTGGCTTGCTGTCTTCTGAGAGTATGAACTTCCTAGTCCCTAACTCTGCTGGTCTGTGTGCATGCAGTGAGCCCCTTAAATTTATGGGATCCACATCACATGTGAAGGTTCTGCCAGGGTCAAGAACAGAATCAAGATGCTGATGATGTCATCTTTGACTTTCTGACACAGACACGGGCCCACAAGATAACGGATGAGCAGGGAGCCCAACTCCAGCACCAGGTGCTGCGAGCCTGCTGAAAGGCAATATTGAAGGGGGAAACAAACCTATTTTCAAGCTTTTTCCTCTTAGCAGAAAGCCTTAGCAGACATCTGACTTTCTCCTGGATACTTTCCCTTTCCCAGCCCTTTCATGGGGAGACTTGCCCTCCCTACCTGTCCATCTCTCAGGGCATGAGGGAGTAGTGACGTTTTCCTCAATTCCAGCAGCTCCATCCAGACCCTTATCCATGATCTCACTCCCCTTCAACAACTTTTCCTCCTTTAACTCCAAACCATCCTCTCATTACACTGTCTTATCAGTTAAGCCCCACACACCTGTTCTATGTGGTTTTCAGCCACTGATTATCATTTTTCTTCCTATCCTGTCTGGCACCATCACTGCTTCTGAAAGGTTGCCATTGTTTCAAAACTCCAGCTTGCTCTTGTTTATCATCCTCTAGTCTAATGGTCATACATCAGAGCCGTATGTTACAAAACTGATTCCACATTATAATCGTTTGGGGAGCTTAAAAAAAATCCCCAAGTCCGGGCTCTGCCTCAGACCAATTAATTCATACTTATTTCAGGGAATGGAATTTTTTAAGTATCCCAGGTGATTCCAATGTGTAGCCAAGGTTAAGAACTGCTGTTTCACGCATCTATGTCAGCTCCAGCTCCTGGACTCCACCCTGTTCTCCCAGGCTAACAGTTTCTTCCCGTCTTCACTGCCTTTTTACCCATCTAGGCCCCCAGGGCCCCCTCATTTCAACCAGATTGTTGCCTAACTGCTAGTCTCCTAACCTGAGGGGGAATGTAAGTTGCTAAGAAAGACATTTAACTGTCCTGATTCAGGCTTTCTAACTCCACCTGAGCCCCTGGTGCTAGTCAGCAATCATATAAGCTGGCTCGCGATATTTACTTTCCACAGTGACTGTTCCAAACTGTTTCCACTGTCCTCAAATCTCAAATCCATCTTATCCCATCTCCCCTCTCCCTCGGCATAGGGTTTAAGTCTCTGAAATAAACTCTTTGCTACATGTGTGCACATTTGAGTGGTTTTAAACTATTTACAGGTGGGTTCAGCTCATAGGGCCTATTCCTGCTTTACTACGATTACACTCATAATTTTCTATTCTTTTTATACCTACTCTGTAATTCTTTTTTTGTTTTAATTGAAGTATGGTTGATTTACAATGGTTGGGTTAGTTTCTGGCGTACAGCAAAGTGTTTCAGTTATACACATATATATATATTTTCTTTTTCATATTCTTTTCCATTATACGTTATTACAAGGTATTGAATATAGTTCCCTGTGCTATACACTAGGACCTTGTTGTTTATCTATTTTATATATAGTAGTTTGTATCTCCTAATCCCAAACTCCTAATTTATCCCTCCCCCTTTCTCCTCTGGTAACCATAAATTTGTTTTCTATGTCTGTGAGTCTATTTCTGTTTTGTAAATAAGTTCATTTGTATCATATTTTAGATTCAACACACAAGTGTTGACAGATGTGATATCTGTCCTTCTCTGTCTGACTTACTTCACTTAGTATGATAATCTCCAGGTCCACCCATGTTGTTGCAAATGGCATTATTTCATTCTGTTTTATGGCTGAGTATATACCTACTCTTTAATTGTAGGTTTCCTACTTTCTCTCATTCATTTTTCATTCATTCAACAAACATTTACTGAAAGCTCGTTTTGGGCTAGAGCCAATTCTAGATGCCAAGGGGTACTGAGATGAGATGACCAAGATATCCCCAAGTCTACAAGCTGGTCCATGTCTGCCTCCAGCATTCCTCCCCACTCCCGCCCCAACTCCCACTACAAGGAGGGACTTGAGGCCTCCTCCCATCAAAAGCAAACCTTTCAGCGAGCTCAGGCTCCCAGCCTTTTTTTTTTATAGATTCTCTTCATTGATTCTACAACCTCTTCCCCCATCACCAAAGTACTTCTCATCTTAAAAACCAACCGAATACATAATTAAACTATCACAGTCATAACTGCTGTGCTATAAGCAAGATCCACCAATGGATGCTAAAATTAGTGGGTGAAAGTTTAAAGAGAAACTGGACATTTGCATAGTCAAAAAGCATCTCACAGGCCCTCCCAATATTTATTAATTACAATGGGAAAATAATAAAGTTAGAGAAATCTGGCAAACACCACCTTAATCAAGTGTTCAAGGCTGACATCACAATTAATATGAATATAAACTTCTTGGACCCCTGATATGATGAGTTGACAGAGCACGTCACCTCCATGGCACTCTTGCCAAAAATGTGTAACTTCAAATTATCCATAAACCAAACATCAGACAAACCCAAATCAAAGGGCATTCTACAAAAATACTTGACCAGTACTTTTCAAAAGAGTTAAGGTCATGAAAGGCAAAGAATGAATAAGGAACTGCTACAGATTGGAGGAGATTCAAGAGCCACGACCACTAAATGTAATGCAGGAAAACAGACTGGATTCTGGCAAATTGAAAAGTAAGTCTCACATAATTTACATATGTCACGGTATACTCTCCTTATTTTAATTATTTTTCAACCATTTACGAATACAAAAACCATTTTTTAATGGAATAAGTGGTGAAATCTGTAGAGTCTGTAGTTTACTTAATAATATTGTACAAATGTTAATTTCTCAGTTTTGATGACTGAACTATGGTATGTAAGATATTAATGTTAGGGAAAGCTGGGTGGAGGGTATGTGGAAACTGTACTATTTTTCGCAACTGATCTGCAATTTTAAAATTATCTGAAAAAAAAAATCTCCCTGGATCCCTCCATCAAGGGCCTTCCTTCTTTATTTTCTTTCAGAGGAAAACTTCTTGAACAAGATGTCCATACCCACTGTTTCTACTCCTTCGCCTCCCATTTACTCTCACAAAAATCACTTTGGAAATTGTCACAGTGATACCAAGTTGGCAAATTTATGGGATCTTTCCCAGACTTCATCTTTTGTGACCTGTCAAGGCATGTAACCCAGCTGACCACTCCCTCCTTCTTAAAACACTTGGCTTCCAAGACACAGACTTTCTGGGTTTTCCTCTTACACTTCAGCCTCCACCTTCCCATTACAAGGTATCAACGTTGAAATTCCTAGACTTCCATCCTGGGCTCTTCTTTTCCTACTGTACATTTTCTCCCCAGGTAATCTTATTCACACCTCTGGTCTGAAATACCATCCATATGTCAGTGATTCCTGAATTTATATCTCTATCCTAGATTGCTCTGCAGAGCTCCAGGCTCATATGTCCATATAGCTACTTAATACTGGCACTGAACTTCTCAAAGTTAAACTCTTGATATTTCCTCTGCACATGCTCTTCTATTAGCTCACCCCTTTCATTACACGGTAGCACCATCTTCTTCCATCCACTCAGTTGCACTCGCTAGAAAATTTGCTGTCATTTCAACATGTCTTTTATGCTTACCCACAAAATCAATCCTTCAGGAAGTTCAAACTCTGTACCTAGACACCTTCCATTTTTTTCCATATCTTCTGTACCTGGATCATCCTTTGCCTAGATTGCCATGATAAGCTCCTAACTGGTCTCCCTGTATCCTTTCTTGCTCCTTCCAGCCCAGTCTCCTAACACGAACCACAGTGACCTTCTGAAAATACTACCCCAATTATATTATTCCCCTGTTTAAATTCCTTCCATTGCTTCTGACTTCACACAGGGAAAACTTCAAAAAATACTAACAGATCTACCACAAACTTCACGATTGGGTCTTTGTCTGCCTCTCTCACCTCATCTCTTGCTTACTGTGTTATGACCCCATTTACTTTCTCTTAATCCCTAAGACACAACAGGCTCTTTGTATCAGGACTTCACATCTGCATCTTCCTATAATTTTCTTCCCCCAACAATTCATTTGTGAAATTGTCAGGGTAGGCTGGATTATGCCTTGGTAGCAAACAACCCCAGCATCTCAGTAGCTTATGCCTAAAAAGATTCATTTATTGCTCACATTTTAGTCTGATGTAGGTCGGGTGGCTCTTCTTCAAGTGGAGACTCAGGGCTTCAAGGTTTGTCTATATTGTGGCGTGCCCATATTCCAGATGTGGCCCTTGCAGTTGCTGTGGAAAGAGAAGAGTGTGTCCATGATTATGCATGGGGCAAGGCCTGGAAACGGCACATATCACATCTGCCCACAACCCACTGGCCAGGTCACAGTCATGTGACCCTAGCCTAACTGCAAAGGAGAAAAAAAAAATGTAGTTTTCCTGTGTGTCCAGGAAGAGGAAATGAGATTGGTGAGCATCAGGTCAATCTCTACCACATCCTGGTTAAAATCTACTCATCTTTAAAGAATCAGCTTAAATAACACTTCCTCATAAAGGCCTTCAAGCTCCTCCAACCTAAATTAGGTCCCCCTAATACATTCTACTACAGTATCCTATAACTTTCCTTTACCACATGGTCACAATGGAAAGTTTACACTTTTTTATGTGATTTATACTTATTTCCATTTCTAGATGGTATGCACTATAGGAGCAAGGATTGCATCTGTTTTGCCCTCACTGTGCCTCTAGCACCCATCACAGTACTTGGTACATAATTGGCATAAAAGTTGTTGAGTGAACAAACGAATAATGACACACAGTCATTCCCTGGCTCCAAACAGCACATTATTTGTGGAGGAGAAAAACAAGTAAGATATTCCAGGAAGGTAAGCCCAGGTTGCTAAGGCCACCTGGGAGCTGCTGAAGCTTCTGCCTTCTCTTCTATGGCACTCAAATCCAGGAATCTGCAAACGATGGCCTGCAGGCCAAATCTGACTTACTACCTGTTTTGTTTCAATGGCCCAAAGCTAAGAAGCATTTTTATATATTTAAACGTTTGAAAAGAATTAAAAGAATATATCATGACATGAAAACTATGTGAAATTTAATTTCAATATCCATAAATATTTATTGGAACACAGCCATATCTGTTAGTTTACTTATTGTCTGCTTTCACACTGCAAAAGCAGACGTGAATGGTTGTGAAAGAAACCACATGGCCTGTAAAGCCTAAAATATTTACTATTTACTATTTGGCCCTTTACAGAAAAAGTTTGCTGACCTCTGATCTAATCCATGCTTAGTTTAAAAGTTCATTTCTATGTGAATTCTATCTAAGCGTCCATATTTAATCCCCTCCTTTTCTCATTCTCACGTCCACTGCCAGAAATTCGGCCCCCATAAATTGTGTTCTTGCAACAGTATTCTTAAACTGCCATCTTTCTTCTCCTCCCTTTGATCCATCTTTCTCAGTATAACCGAAGCTAATTTCCAAGAGAACAGTTTGATATTTTAGCTCTTCTTTGAGGCTTCCCATTCTGTACTAAATAAAATATGTACTGCTTAACATTGTGGTCAAGGTACTCTATTATCTTACTGAACCTTACTTTTTTAGCTGTGTCTCTTATGTTATACTTCTATTCACTATTCTATTATCGATCACTTAACCCACACTTTTCTTCTCTAATTCCAGGGCTATGTTCACTGTTACTAACTCTGTATGAATTATTTGCTGCTAGTATTTCTATCTCACCCATCCTTTAAATTGGTTATCTCGAATGTCTCCTTGCCCTAAAAGCCTTCCCCAGCTCCTTTACTGAGAATAATTATTACTATCTGTGCAATTCTCTAACAGTTTGTACAACTGTTTAATTTCAAATTCTGCTTTACAGTTTCCTGTGTATATACACAGATTGTCTGTTTCTTATATTCTATCCAAAGCTGTTTATGGGCAGGGATTGTATTCTATTTTATTACTCTGTAGCCTTTTGGTGCCTACCGTGCGTTTGTACAAAATGGAAATGTTGATCCTTTGCAAAAGTCTTTACGGAGGATTGCGAATTTTTGAAATGTCTAAGGACTACCTGTACTTAAGCACAGACTCAACTTATTTAGGACTCACTAGAGCGAGTGGCACCTTTTAAAGACACGCTGTCGTCCAGCTGGTCACATACCTGTATATTGCGCACTGGGACCCACAGGTACGTCTGCAAACACGTGCGTGAGAAACGCTTTCCTCCAAGCTCCTCCTCTGCCCACGGTGATTGGCGGACCAAACGTTCCAATCAGCCCTCCCCGCCTCTTTCAGCAATAGCCAATCACAGGCCCCGAGCGCCTCCTGACTACTAGACACTGTTTACTAACAGATCAAAGCTGGGGAATAAGGGGTGTGACCGTTCTGGGAATGTCAGGGAAGGGAAGGTCCTGACTACGCGTGCGCATCAGGGGAGGTGGGCGGGGCAGAATTCCGGCCTCACCAATCGGAGCGGTCGCTCTTCTCCCTCTCCTGCCTCCTCGCCAAGCAACAACAACTCGAGGAGCGGGGCGGGGCGGCTCCTGAGGCGTCTGAGCGGATTGTCCAATGGGAGCCGGCGTTGACAGATGCGCGCGCCCCGTGCCCAATAAGCGATGGCGGCTCGAATGGCTCCTCGACCTTGCTGGCTGTGGGCGGAGCGGCTTGGAGGAGGAGGCGGAGGAGCAGGGGGCGGTTTGGTTGCGCGGTACTAGCGGTGCCCGCCGAAGGGGGAGGAGGCGGAGGAGCAAGCCGTGCGGCCAGAGCGGGAAAGCTACTCGTCTCGGCGTCCGAGTTCTGGAGCTGCCGCACCGCGGCTCCTAGGGCTGCAGCGGGAGCTGTGAGGGGCCAGGCGTCCGCTGTCTCCCGGGTCCCCTCGGAGGACCCCGCGGGATCAGGAAAGGGAGAAGATGGAGGAGGAGGGCGGCAGCGGCCGCGCTGCCGCCGCAGGGACCAGCAAGGACGGCGGCGCCGGGGAAGAGCAGCTCCTTACCGTCAAGCACGAGCTGCGGACTGGTGAGCGACCCCGCCTACTGCCGTCCGGACTCGGCGCGGGGGCGCGCTCCGAGGGCACGCGGGTGTCCGCGCGAGCGGGGGACGGGGGGCGCGGGGCCGAGCCTT